GGCTGTGGCGCAAGAGGACTAAGTGAAGGCTAGCATAACTCTCGAAGGGGGTATATTGTCGAGCAAGTCGTAAATCCAGAGGTTCCAAATAATAGATCTCAACGGAACAATGTACTGCTAGTGTGAGGAACTAAGAGGTCCCTCACCTGTCGTGAGTACTATACTACTGTAGGTTCCGGGTACTATTGTATCTCGATTACTGTTACCCTTCAAAACGAGCGTGGGATGCCTAATAATGACGGTGGGTTGTGCACTGTCCCTCCTACGCGTCCTTCTGCGGGGTAAGGTCGGCCCGTGCCGCCCAACGCGCAGGAGTTGTGCTAGCCTTCATTCAGTCATCTTTCCCCTATAGCCTTTGGCAGTCCTTGCCTACGATCTGTCTTCACCTAGGTCACCGCGGTATACCAGGAGCAGGCCGTAACAAATATGCGAAATACCCTTCATCTCCTAATGATAACCACTAGCAAATCCATCTCCTGAATATCCCCAGCATCAACGACTAGTAATAAATATAAGCATTTCCAAGCGGAAGGCTGGACAAATTGTCCATGAAGTTCTGGGTTGGCTATTGCGGGTGCGAATGTCCCAATTCTGGGCCCTTTGCTTGCACGGGATCATTTTTGGTCCCTTCGGCTAAAGCTGCACCTTCTTGGAAGGCTGTGCTGTTCAATGGGCAGATATTAGCCGAAGCTGAGCCAGGACTGATCTGAACTGATCAAACGTGACAGTGAGTCACGTGACAATGAGTCACGTGACAATGAGCATGGGTGGCGTCGATTTTAGGGTGGTGAAACACGCCGTGATATCAGACGTTCTTAGAGGTAAAATGAAAGGTCTTCTTTATAGTTATTCAGTAAGTTAACAGATATTAAGGACAAGCGACATGTGGTTATTATCTCAGCCACAGCTTGAAGTGGAATAACTTAATCATTATACTTCTAGGACTTGGTGTGGGTGTTTTTGGGTCTGATTGAGGATTCATCAAATTCGAAACTATTCAACTGGAGCACATAATTAATTGTTCTAAATCTTAATCTTTAGTCTACTGCGTAACCAGAGACTTCTTGGGAACCCGGAGAATTTAGGGAAAGTTGAGCTGTCGTACGTGTTTTTATTCCTCGTTTTTCAATTAAAGGTTCACAAAAGAAATGGAGCTGGGGAATGGCGTCGACGACATGTATACCAGAAAGGAAAGATTGTTAAGAAGCCACTGGCGAACTACCCAAACACATAGGGTACCTTATCGTGAGCACGCTTATGGGAGTCAGGTGCTCGGGCGCAACTCCCTCACGCCAGGGGTATATTTACTGTGATAGAAGGAATCCAGGGGAAGGCGGTGGCAGGGAATCTTGAAGGACTCCGAACAATTCGCTCTGATGATGGACGCCTACGCGAACTTAGTTGCAGGCACTAAATCCTATTCCTATCATTGTCTGGCTCTTCTTTGACTTGGCCATTGAGATTTGTTAACTCCACGTTTACCTCAGGCCGGTTACCCCAGAGCTACGAATACTGATTTACTTTCCATACCTACCTAATTAGCCCCTAACTAGTTCATGTCGGAATCGCGGGCTAGCGTTCTGCGCCTCATTTCGCGGGCCCCGATCAGCTTTTGCGACCGATACTCACCTCGCTGAATGGAGACCAGTCGTGGCTGGTATCATTTCCTCGCCCGAACGCCGAGAGATTGACAAAAGCTTATAACCACATCGTCTCAGATGCTTGGTTGGCTGGGGGCGCATTTAACTTCTCGCCGTGGCGTCATACTTGCGTCTCTCTGCCGAGCCCACCGCCGCCGATGGGGCCACTGTCGAGGTGCTGGTTAGGGAGATTGAGGATGCTTACTCGGCCGCGGTGAGAAGCGTAGACGGAGCAAGCTAAAGTACTTGGTCATCATCCTCGGCATCACCTACCGACGCCATCTTTGTCAACCTCCACATCTCGGACCACTTGCACGAGAAAACGTTGCGAAAGTTCCGTCCGAGCATCCGCGTCTTTGCTACTGCGCAAGCTGCCTCAGTCATGGAGCCGTGGGGCTACTTTTCCTCCATCACTCAGTCAAACGATCTCGAACTTCTCTCCACCACCTATAGAAAGATCTTCACTCGGCGGGCTGCTCTCCACATGGCTCAGCGTTTCAGATTGACTGGCCACCACGAACCGAGCTTCGCGACGGCAATCGTATCCTCGGCTTCGCCCAGCACAGGCAGCTTTGCACTTGCAGGCAGCCACGTTGCCTACGAAGCGTTGCTGTACAGCCCACATGGTATTATAAATGACCAGCCTTCTCTCCAAGCATACTTTAAGAAGTGCACTCCACCCATGCAGACCGTGGTAATCTTGCATGGCCTCAAGGATAGCTTCGAGTTTAGCATAAGGATGGTTTTAGGTGTCAAAGAGGGGCTGGCGCTTGAGAGGCAGGTTAAGCCCAAGTACTGGATTAAGTCGCACGATATAGACTTGTTGTACTCTAGAATAATGATGCGTCTAGGTGTAAGGGGCTACCCACGAACGTTGGAGTCAGGTTTAGAGGAAGAAGGCGTGGATGGAACCAATAACCGACCAACTCTTGTTGAAGTGGAGAATGGCGAGTGCTTCATCGTGGCGTGAATCGTGAATCGTGAATCGCGATGAAAGGAGATTGGCGTGGCATTTGCATCTGTACCTAATTAAGCACCTGAATTACTAGACGTGGCGACCCAACAAAGAAATCGCCCCACAACGAAATTGGCCCACGCCATGCCCACACCCACTCCACGGGCGCAAATTATCCATTTCTACACAAAATAACTAGCAAAAAAATACTCAATCCTCTTCTTCGGCCTGTCTATATTGTTCGAGCCCACGGGCGATTATTTCCCGGGCTTCTTCGACTGCATGTGGCTGGCTTTCTGCCCGAGCCGTTTTTTTCCGCTTTGGGGGTATTTGACTAGCTTTTTGTGCCTTGGCGATGTCCTCTATACGTGCAAATCGCTCATTTCCATCTTCATATACCCTCTTACGCGTGCGAGGCTTTGAAGCCTCTAATTCGGTTGTGAGATGCGTAATTTGTGCCTTCAAAGACGCGATCTCTGTATTCTTCAGATCCAGGGACCTCCCGACCTTAGTAAACAAGGCCCGCACACGCCGCTGAGCCGGACTGAGGGCATTCCGAATACTGTCCTGGTACTTCTTGATGTCCTGACTGCCGTGCGGTGTTTTGAAGAGCCTGTCATCGTCGTTCGGGGCCGTCGGCGGCGGTGTTGAAGGCCGGGCCGGGAGTGCCTCATTGTCCTTGACCGCCTCAGGGTCATCAAGTAAACAAGCCGGGTTGAAGGGCCAAATCCCGGTTTTACTGAAGCCCGACATGATGTTACGGGCACTCATGCCTTTACCCGAGGCATCTCTGTAGCAGTAAAGGAACCGAACACTGTTGACAGGAGCTGACGATGTGAAGCTCGCGAGGGCCTTGGTATTTTCCCTAAAATAGGTCTTTAAAGGTGAAAAGACCGAGCGATCGAGAGGCTGAGACTTGTGCGATGTATGAGAAGGTAAATAGACGAACTGGACCTTATTTTGGAAGGCCGCTAACATGAATTTTTCGTTCATATGGCTCGAATGTTCGTCAAGGATCAGTATACGCCATTCGCCCGGCCTTTGGGGCTTTGTTTGGATCAGGTAGACCTCTTTGAGCCATTTCAGCGCAATACTGGCGTTGCTCCAGCCTGTAATTGAGTAATCGTACTTCCATTCCCGGAATTCCTTCGTCAGGTTGAAGTTATCAGGAAAGTGTTGTCCTTGAAGACTGGCCCCGGTAAATATGATCACGGGCTTCAAACGAACGCCCTCAGCAGTGCCGCATTCGATAACTGAAACCCAGGTTGTTGCATCAGAGCTTTTCACGTAGGTTCGGTTCGTCAGGGAGCTTCCTATGACCTTTCCGGCCCGGGTCTCGAGCTCCTGCATGCCGTGCTCATCCATGTTAGCGATGTTGGCCGGGATGACCTTTTTATCCTTGATTTGGAAGGCCAGGCGCTTGAAGAAAGCTTCATAAGCTTCACGAGTAGATCCGCAGACTCGAGAGGATTCCAACAAGGTTGAATTCTTCATCTTTACCGCCGGGTTGCGGCGTAGGAAGCGGTCCACATATCGCTCCCCAATGGTCTTTTTCGTGCCGGCCTCATTGAGTATAGCTTGAGCGAATCTCTGCACCTGACGACGGCTAGGAGCCCTGCCTGCAGCCTCCTCATTGAGGCACCAGTCGGCTAGGAAGCTTTCCTGCGCATTGGAGAGGTTTCTTTCGGCTTGTTTACTTTGTGCTCGATTTTCTGCCCCGTGGATGCGTTTGCAGAGGGTAGAAGGAGGGATCCCGAAGTCATGCGCGGCCTGCTTCTGCGATGCGCCCTGTTCAACTGCAAGTATTGCAGATTGAATTAGCTGCTCTCGACGGTTCGACATGATGTATTTTGAAGCTATTCGAGCCTGAATTGATGAAGTTGTGTTGTGTTGAAGTTGAAGGGCGGGAAATTAGATGACAGGGGCAGAGATTTCGTTGTGGGGCGATTTCTTTGTTGGGTCGCCACGTCTATATACCTGCATTCGCACATGGGAGTCCGATAGTTTGACACTGTTATTGCCAGTCTGTAGCGACAAGGCAATCGCGGGGATATCACCAACTCCTCTCAGAGGCCAACAGCATGCAGAAACAGTCAAAAATGAGGGTATTCCAAGAGTGTATTGTGTGATGTTCTAGGAAGGAAAAACCGGCCTACCCTTGCAGGCCCGGGACCAATTTGACCCGGTAAAACCGCGGCCTAATTAAGTGCCCTGTGCGGGCCCTGCCCGGGCACCCTAGACCATGCCGAAAGTAGTAGGGCCTTTCTGACAACTCCTGATTGTGGAACACTCCGCGAAAGTTTTGGCGGAATAATTCCCTTGGTTCGGATACCTTTCCACAAATGAAATGTTTGGCAGGGGCAAGGGTTGATCGGTATATACGCTAAGCCATATTGGCAAGGTGCGGGGGAGTTGGAAAGTCAAGATGTCCCAGTGAAGAACGAAGCGCTTTGGGCTCCTCATCTCCAAAAGTCAAGCGTTGAAGTTTGCGCCATATTGATATCCAACGGCACAACACTCGCACACATTTCACGCACGGCCGTCGAGATGAGCAGCAGCAGGGTACTGCCATCCCATAAGCGCACCTCCTCGGGTGCCGAAAATCAGGATACGGACCAACCTCCGTTCAAGCAGGCGCGAGAGGCGCGAGACAGCCTCTCAGGAGTCGTGAGAAGCATGGAGCCTCCGGAGGTGCCAGAAAATGCATCATCGGCATCCTCCAGCTCCGACGGCAGCGATGCGTCGTCTCTACTCAATGGCGTCTACATCGTCCAGTACAGCATAAGCAACATGCACAACGACGAGAATGATATCCGAATCCTTGGCGTCTACGTGAGCGAGGAAGACGCCGAAGCACAAGTTTCTGCCGAAAAGGCCGATCTCGAGAGCAAAGGCGCGAGTCCGGGCGACATTGAGGATCTTTACCAGTCAGGCTGGACGTGGGAAGACCACGGCTACGGAAAGATACGAAGCTGCTCTGTGCAGTTTCATAAGCTTATCTGGCCCAGTCAGAGGAGCGGCGCTTCATCTTCGTCGAGCTCGGCATCCTCTGTCCAAAGCGGCAGACTGGGGCACGGCGAAGGAGACATGGGCACAATCTTCGAGGAGAGTCTGTATCTGCCGAGGAATTAGCTAATGTGTGTACAAGTCGGGTGTTTGAGCTTCGAGGAATCATCTGGCGGCATCGTCGTTGGAGTTCTAGGCAAATCAGCAATGCTAAAACGACCAGTGCGCCTGGAAATTAAGGAGAAAAGCGAGTAAAAAGGGCTAAAGGAAAAAGCCAGATAAAAACGGGAAACAATTAGCAATTGGGTACAACTACCGACTCGAATGAGACGGACGGAGTCGACGCTATCCAGGTCCAAACCGATTTTGCAATTGACGGGGACTAAGATCCAAAACTGGAACTCTCCAAGTATTATACTTTTGGGGATTTCAGATATAGTTCTAGACGAAATACCCCATTATGCTCGGCAGCTAATTAAATGGACCGTTTGCCCGTAGTTATTCCGCGGCCAGCTGCAAGACCCGCCTAGCCGCCCACCTTGACCCCTCAATTCCCACTCTCCCAACAAGGCACCGCAGTGTTGGCTGTCGAGCGTCATCAACGTCACCGGGTTACCAGCACTCTCCACCACCAGCTTTGCAGTCGCTGGAGCCTGCTTTGCAATCGCTGGAGCTTGCTTTGCACGAGGCCTTTCGACCTTTTCCGACACAGAACCACCGACACAGAACCACATCGGGCATACCCGAGGTTGAAGATGAGCGGTCCCGAGTCAACCATCGCCGGGCTTTCGGTTTCGCAGTCGAGTCTGTCGGCTGAGAAGCTGGAACCAACTGCGGCAGCTGGTTCCCAGGCGGTTGATCTTGTGCCTGTCATCGAGGAACACATTGTCCCGTTGCTGGATCCTAAATTCCTCCGTTATTTTGTCGACGTGGTTTCCAAGGTCAAGCCAGCCCACGACATTCCGATCCAAGAAGTGCGCGCCAACCCGCAGAACTACCGGCCCCCGTGTGCTCTGGATGCATCCAAAGAGCCCAGAGTTGCCGATTATGCTGTCGGCTCTCAGGATGGCGCGACAGTGCCGGTTCGGGTCTATCACCCCGACCCACAAGCCTTTGGGGAAGGGCCATATGCCGTACACTTGAACTACCATGGCAAGTCACCCCATGTTCATATCGCTGCCCAAACTAACTCGAAAGACCAGGCGGTGGTTTTGTGTTTGGGGATCTTTGTACCGAGGCCCAGCTCTGTCTCAGTATGCGCGAGGCCGGGGTTGTGGTAGTCGATGTCAACTACCGTCACTGTCCAGGTGTGTGCTGTTTTTTTTCACCGGGGGTCTGTGGTTTGTCGCTATTGCAAGCAGTGCTGAACGTCCAATCTAGAAACAACTTGGGGAAAATGCATCCAAGATGCGTGGGCTGCCCTGAATTGGGTGAGTACAATCTCGCCGTGCAGTCGTGTGGAATGACGAGTCTCACCAGTGGCAGGTTCGCGACTCATCTAGCACGCTCAATATCAATCCAACTTCAGTATCGATCGGCGGCATCTCGGCTGGCGCACACATCTGCCTGGTTCTGCAGCACATGGCGCGTGATGCTGGCATCCCCCTCAGACTTTGCATGGCGTCAGTCCCGCCCTCGACCGACTCGCTGACGTACGCATACTACACACAGTCGTCGTTCCAGTCTTTCCACGACTTCCATCGGGCGCCCGTCTTGCCGTGGAAGCGTATGCAGTACTTCGGCCGCCTCTGCATGCCGCAGGAGACGCTGCCGGAGCTACGGAAGCTGTGGCCCGACTGGTGGTTCGCCCCCATTCGCGCGCCAAACTGGAAGGGGCTCTGCGATACATTTGTCCGGACCGCTGAAGTTGATCCGTTGAGAGACGAGGGCGAGGCTTACGGCATGAAAGTCGTAGCGGGTGGAGGCAAGGTTACCTTCAAGAGATACCAAGGCTGTCCGCACACGTTCATGTATCTCAGCTTTCTAGCACAGAAGGATGAGTACGATCGGGATGCGATTATAGCTCTCAGGGTGGCTCATGGACTGGAACAATGAGCAGGACAATCCTCGTCAACTTTATGGGTAGCAAGACAAAAACCATGACAACTGAAATACTCGCTCCCAAAGGACAGCCAAGATCTAAGCCTCTCAAGTGTCTTCTGGCGTGTTTGTATTGCAGGGTACCTGTTGAACTATTGCATCGCCATTTTGTGTCAAAATGCACCCTACCGAAGAGCTAAACGTGCAGGGTACCTGTTGAACTATTGCGTCGCCATTTTGTGTCATAATGCACCTTACTGAAGAGCTAAACGCAACCCCTTAAGAAGTTAGGAAACGAAAGTCTAGACCTAAGAGGAAGAGCGCAAAGTGCTACTGAGGCTCACTGCTTATACGAGGGCTGATTGAAATAGTTCATATTTAATTCATTGCACAATATTCAGTTGTGTAACTCTATAGAGTACATATTACCTCTTGTCGTTTCCATGAGGTGCCCTTGTGTTCTGTCCGGTCATGTGTAATTTCACCTACACCTAACCCTGGACTGTTTGATGGCCCCAGCGTTTCAATTAAGCAACCTCGCTTAATTTTCGCTTACAGTTCCCTGATTCGATGACGACATGGGTGCAACCAGTGGGTTCTTGCATGTGTGGCGCGAGCTGAGCCGTTTCACTCGCTTAAAGCCACGCGAGGGGAGGCGTGACACATGTTGGAAATGACTCTTGTTCCCGTGGTTAAATCCGTCGCTTGCGTCGGCGAATGTAATTCTCGTTTTGGCGTCTTCGCGTTTAGCCAAGCCTGCCGGAACGGAAAGGCTTAGATTTTGCGACGCTCTAGCGCACTTTGAGCCTCTAGCCGTGACCACAATGGAAAAGATGTGTGCTCCCGCCAAGCGGGTGCTCACTGCTGGCACCCAAAGCCCCACGCGAATTAATTCGCGTCTCCTTTTCCCAGGTAATCAGCAGGCAGGACAACAACTTTTCACCTATTAAATATCCATGAAAGTTCAATAATCCACTTCAGCTTCTCAGTGCCGAGCGGGAATGCTTCGTGAGACGTGTCACAAGTCTTGGACGGCCGGCGTGTCGTTCGCAAATCGACCTTGCTCGCAGCCCAGAGGCAAATGGGAAAGGTCTTCTCGGCCTTGACGCGAGATTTTCACCAGGGTGGCACTTGGCCTTCGCCTCCCTCCGACTTTCTCCACTAGAGACGAAGCGGCCTGGAATGAGATGAAGCGCACGAGTCACGATCACCATGAGCTACTCTAGCTAGACAAGAACGGCGCCTTCTTAACAACCCACTCCCTCAGCTTGCCCGCCTTCGTCCGTTCTCGCCAACTCGACGACTAACTTCAGGTCGGAATCGCGTAGCCGTTTCGAAGTTGCCCAGCACCGATGCAGTGGGAGGCTCCTCGCGCCTGCCAGATCTCGCCTTTGGCTCTTCGCCGTCCTGCTCACCGATTGAGCGGCTTTTCAATCCAACACTGCCGTTCTTCAGCGCTAAGGGCGACCCCTCAATTATCCTACGTTTAGTTCAAGCACCTCACGTCCAGCTGCAGCTGCAGTTTCTCGACACACTGCTTTTCGACATCTAATTGAGACTCCAGCCCCCAAAAGCTGAACATCACGTGCTGAACTGCCACGCGCCACACAAAGCCGAGAATGGGCTCCATGAAGCATGATGACTTGCGCAGCGCCTTCAAAAGGACCGAGGTGGACGAGAAGGCCGACTTTCAAGAGAGTTTGAACAATTTCGTGGGTGGAGCATACACCGAATGGCCCAACGAAGCTGGTGTAAGTTGGCTGAGATGTTTCTTTTTTTCTCAGCCCCGTCCCGCCACGTCTCAATACCACGCAAAACCCGGGCTGGGCACATACTTACGATTCCGGTAGTTTGACGGACTCACCGAAGAGCGTGGGCCGATTGAAGTTCCAGTCGCGGGCCAGATCCCGAGCTGGGCGGCTGGGAGCCTATTTCGGACTGGGCCGGGCATTTACAAGATTGAGGGCACCTCTGTTGGAACCTTTTATACGTCACACTGGTTTGACGGGCTTGCCCACACCCACCGTTTCGACATTGTGTCCGGCGACCAGGGGCCTGTCAAGGTCTTTTACTCGTCACGTCGTCAGTCGGAGCAGATGATGGAGCATATCAAAGAGAACGGCGGCCGCAAGTATTACAGCTTTGGACAACGCAGCGACCCCTGCCTGGGCCTGTTCTCCAAGATTATGAGTTCATGGCAAGCCGCGCGAGTGCCGCAAGACGAAAAGTGGATAGAGAACATCAACGTTGTCGTTCACCCCGACCTCCCTGGGCTGGACGCTGCGGCAGGAAACCTTGTCGACACGGGGAAAGCCCAAGCGCGTCTGCCAACAGGCAAGACCGCTGTCACCATCACAGCTGGTGGCCATCGCGCAGCGACTCTGAAGAACCTCTGGATTGCGACCGACAACGCAATGCTGAAACAAGTTGACCCGGAAAGCCTTGAGCCGATTGGCTTCACGACCCAGAAGACGTTGCATCCCGATCTCAAGGGGCCCCTCTCCTGTGCACATGCGCAACGGGACCCCGATACCGGTGACCTGTTCAACTGGAACCAAGAATTTGGTCGACAGACGGTCTACAGAATCTTTCGCGTCAAAGCGGCAACTGGCGAAACAGACGTCATGGCCACCATCCAGGGCCCGGGCGTCAAGGCTGCGTATATTCACAGCTTCTATCTCACCCCAAGCTTCGTGGTGCTTTGCATCCCTAGCTCACATGTCGGTCTTGGCGGCATCAAGATTGCATGGGAGCGTAATGTGATTGACGCAATCGAGCCGTTCGATTCGCATAAGAAGTGCAAGTGGTTTGTGGTTGACCGACTGCACGGAAAGGGAGTCGTGGCAAGCTTTGAAACAGACGCCGGCTTTTTCTTCCATACTGTTAATGCCTTTGAAGAGCAAGATGTGGTGGATGTTCGGGATGGCACGACGAGTCTGTTTTGCGATGTTATTGAGTACGCCAGTCTCGATGTCATGTCAAGCCTCTACTACGACGTGCTGCTGCAAAAAGACAAGGCCGCCGAAAAGTTCTGGAGCAACGACCAGAGGGCACGTGATACCATGACACACATGGCGCGCTATCACTTCCGAGTTCCGTCTCCTACCGAAGAAACTAAGATGGATGGCGCGACTCCAAGCCAGGCAGTAGCGAAGCAGCTCGACATACCCGCACCACATTGCGGCGAGCTTCCCACCATCAACCCCAACTTCGCAACGAGACGCCACCGATATGTGTACAGCTTGCCGTACTGGGGTCGCAGCACTTCTATGGACGGCATTGTCAAGACGGACACGCTGACACGCGAGGCTCTCTTCTGGGACATACCTCCAGGCCACAGCCCGGGCGAGGCAATTTTTGTGCCCCGTCCAGGCGGCACAGATGAAGACGACGGCGTCCTGTTGAGCGTCGTGCTCAATGGCAACACCCGAACAAGCTTCCTTCTCTGTCTCGATGCGAAAACAATGGTGGAGGCTGGGCGGGCCGAGGTGGGATTTGCCGTAGCCTTTGGGTTCCATGGGACTCACGTTGCTGCCTGAGACACAACGTTGTATTAGCTACTATTAATAACCCGCTCAGCCATGCGTGGTAGCGGTGTGCTGAGTGCATATACTTTGCGCTGTCTGGAAAATGACTTCGTGAAGTGAGTGTCGCAAGTTGTAGGTCTTAGCCCGCTCGGTACGCGTGTGAGTTGGTCGTGTGTGATGGGTTGGGGCTCTTTCCTTATATATAGGTTGGGGTTCTTTATTATAGTTGACCTGCACACTGTTATTATAGTAGCAGTCGGTTAGCTAAGCTTTATACCAAAAAAATACCAAAAAAAGGTGGGGTGAGACTGGTGGTTCGCGAAGTCGCAGGGTCCGGAAAAAGTGGTTCTGTGAAGACGCCAGGACAAGGAAACTCCCTTGTCTCATTTTGAAGCCGAGCTGAGCCACCTGCAAGTTCAATTCATTTATGTGCTTCTCGGGAACTTCCAAGCTGGGGTAAAGGGAAAGCGCGGCATTATTATTATCCGCTTCGTCGCCGGGAGTTGTTTTCCACTTTTCCAATTCTTCCCTCAATTCTCTCCACTCTCCAGCCACTTCTCATCCCACAATGGCTAAGCCCAGGGCGTGCAAGCCATGCACCGAACGGAGAGCCCGTTGCGACAAACGTGTACCATGCGGAAATTGTACTCAGAGGGGCGTTCCGTGTAACCAAAAACCACCAAAAATCAAATTCCTCCACCATCTAGCCGCTCCAGCTCCAGGAACCGTGGCTGGCGATCTAGATTCGAGTCTTAGGCGTCGAATAACCGCTGGTCGGACACAGAATTTTCTCACTTCCGCCGGCAACTATTTTAGGACTTACGTTACCAAAACAGCGATCTAGCTTTATCTTCCAGAAGAGAGTTTACTAACAGATCTCATAGTATCTAGAATATCACAACTTTTTCACCGCTCACTAAACCCTACGACACGTTCCTGCCTCACGGCAGTATACATTGCACCACCGAAGGCGGACTAGAGACTTCTGGCGCCGTGGTAGAGGCGCCGGAGAGACGTGATCCGTCTCCCCCGATGCATCCCTCATCACCGTCCACAGCGGCCATCACTGCCTTAGGCTGGTGCACTGACGCCCTCCAGCCTCCCTGCGGCGGACATCCCAGGATCTCTCCGACCCCCCCTCAATTTCTCCGAACCCCCCTCACAAGCGGGGCCTGGCCAGGCACTCCCGATAACATGGGGCCGATGAAGGGACAGTGCTTGATGAGAAATGGCGTCGGTTCTAGCGAGGTTGAGAGTAGTGCTAGCAGCTTACCGACACCGCCTACGGACACAAATCTGGCCGGTCCAATGACGGCCCTCACGCCGGTATGGTCTATTCGGGGTGTGAACGAGAACAAAAAACGGTTCATGGCCCTGTTGGACCGACCAGAATGGTAGTTACCTCTCGCCAACGAGGCCCCATTTGTAGCTGCAAACTTTTATCGTTACGTGGCTGGTACAGGCCTTAAAACGATGGAATTTGTGAAGTCTGGACTTGCTCACAAGACGATAATATATCGCGCAGCTCTCCTCGGTCTAGGTATTGTGCTCGAGATAGCTCCGACGCTACTTGAGCGGAACGGAATGCGTTTAGAGCCCAGGGTCTCTATTACTATAGAAGTTTTGAAGACGATATTACAGGACAAAGGAAAGCCCAGTACTTGCTTCAGCCCACTGGGCGTTAATTAGTCAACGTATTGGTGGACCTTTTTTTTAAGAAAGGAGACGGTATGGTTTGGCCAAATGCTATAGGTGGTGTGAGTCATTCCCTATGGAATAAGACACGGGCTACTTCTGATGGATAAAACGGACGGCCCCCCGATCTCCTGTAACAATAGAAGCGCTTGTAGTAATATACAAACGCTCACTCGTCTCTGTTACGTCCTCCCCGATTGTAAGCCACCCAACTTGCTCTACATAAACGATCCCACTCGGCCCTTTGAAGTTGATAATCACGGCAACATGGTTATTTTCGTTCTCGTCGATATAGAATTCGAGTCCATTTTTCTAAGAAATTAGCATCTTGCTTCGAAGCCTAGGAACCTGGGTTCTTACCAAGTCTTTACCAAGCCCCTCTCTCACCGCATCAGGAACCTTACTCTCGCTCCACCCCTGGATGTCTGTCCCGCTCATAGTGTATCCTATGTGTCGTCAACGGCGAGATATCAATTGGCGTTTGCGCGATTTGCGCCCGACTCGATATTTGTTAGATCTTGTTAGAAAGCTGGTCCCAAACTAGGCCCAAAATCGGTTCAATGTAACAGTCTTATTGTGTGGAAAGTGTTGGGGTAAGTCCTGGGGACCTCCTAGCTGGGGACCCCATTTTACCCTGAAAAAGAGGGGTTTTCCTGGGCTAGGCCCAGAAGGTTGCCCTGCATGCGCCTCCAGGTCAGACTGCCAGCGATTTCCGGGCTTAATTAGTCAGGACCTCGAAAATCCAACACACCCCCCCAGATTTGGCCAAAATGGCAAAATCTGGACCGTTTGAAGCCTAGAATACTGGGTTTATTTACATCGTGAGAAAATTCTTGGTGTTGTGGTTCCCGAGTACATTTTTCGACATGATCCTGGCGTTGTATCGCCTTCGCTCCTTTCTTTTGTATCTCAGGGTAGAAGGTCTTCTTGTAGCTCCTGAAGTCTTCTTTCGCGTAGTTGGTCTGAGATGTCTGCTAGACCTAGTTGTATATAGAAGCGCTTGTGCTTGTGATGTGGGAGTGCCTTCGTAAGGCCATCAGCGATTATGCTGGCAGTTGGTGTATGTATTACCTAAGGGTTAGATCTTCTCGCGAACAGGACAGCCGGTTCGGTGCTAAGAGAGTACAGCCAACCCCTGTAGCCTAGCGTTGTGGCCAAGAAGTACGGCATGAAGGCCTATTTAGTTGAACTATCCACGAATAGTATAGTTGCCAAGGAGTCTCACCGCCTTCATCGGCCACCGATGTGAGGATTGCAAAGAGAGCTTTGTTGACGCCGCTGTTGCTTCGAGTCTGAATCCAGTGCAGAACCTTGATATTTCCCAGCCAAATCGATAGATATGGCACCCCAGCGCGACAGTACGAGCCGGTCGTCGTCAATTGAGCCCTCTGCCGAACGCTTCCTCAACGACACTCCGAGCCCAGCCCACTCGTTCGCGAACGAGCCGGACAGCGAATCCGACACCGTTTCGAGCCAGGCCAGCGATACTGACGATGCTGACGAACGATCTCAATCTCAGGTATCGCTGGGAACGCCTTGCCCATCAACGCCGGCGCCTCGTGGAGATACACCTTTGTCACGGACGCTTGCGCGTAGTCTGGCCAGTAGTCGATTGTCGGAGGTAGGGGGAGGGGGACCATCAACAACGGCCGGTCGCCGGAAGCGAGCGCCCACGAGGACTACGCCTCCGAGAGCGACTGAAGCAAAGAGGAGGAAGAATAACAACCCTGAGCCACCGTCAGGCCGCCGCAAGCGTAAGCCAGCGACTTTGTGGAGCGACGAGGAGAGCGCGCAATTGATGCTCTAGTTCCTTGACTGTACTCGGCTTCGGTACTTCGCGGCGGAAAGATCGTATCGACAGGCCTGGGATTATGTGTTAGAACAGTCAAGCCAGCTCTGGCCGCAAAAGCTGTTGACGAAGGATACTATATCTACCAAATACTTCTACGAAAAGAAGAGGTGGCGTGCGCTGAACGAGCTCATGACGTCGGGTACGTCGTTTACGCCTGACGGTTTGCCTGACGTATCTGATGAAGTCTGGGAGCGGTATTGGGCCCGTAACGGTCGTCGGAATCGCAGGCTCGCAACCAAGCCCATTGGCGATTATGACGTGTATGCGGAGGTCTTCAAGGACGATCGTAGTACTGGGGAATGGATCCGCGAACCTGCAGATATTATTAGGGCACGCAATGAACAACAGGAGGAGGAGACCAACCAAAGCGGAGATGCGGAGGAAGAGGAAGAGGTTGATGAACAAGGCTCACCGGCGCCGGCAAGCCAACCCAGACCAGCTCGATTAACCAGTACGCAACAACGCCGTCTTGATACCGATCCTGACCTCCATCACGCTCGGCCAGTTAATACTATACAGCCAGAGGCCGCGATAGTCGTTCTGCGCCAGGCGCAACGAGGCAGGGAGAAACAGACCGAGGCCACAAGACTTGCGGATGGTATGATAGAAGCCGCGGCAATCGTTGCTGCGCCGAAACCAGTTGGCGCCGAGGACGTTGCAATGGCGATGGAGGATATTGAGAGGCGTTATAAGAGTTCTTTAACCCTTGACGATCTATTCAATTGCTCAGAATACCTTTGTAGATGGCCGGTCAAAGCGACAATTTATTTGAGGGCAGGGCCTGAACTCAAGGCACGGTATTTGGAGGAATGGAAAAAAGGTCCGGAGTAATATTACATGATTTCCACCTGATAGTAATTGCGTTGGATTTCTTGATTTTTATTGCGTTTCTGGCCTTTGGCCACTTTAATCGCGTTGGTTATATTGGTCTTGCTGGATTTTGACAATTCTACCGTAATTTACCGCCTTTTTTCCTACCCCTCACACCCCGCACTTCACACTAACCTGACCACTATTATCAACATCTTCTACCATCTTTGCCTATATCTACAGTATTGTTGCCACAACGTACTTGCGCAACGCCAGCGAATATCCCAAGGGCTTCCTACTACTTGTTGTTGCGCCCTCTCAGCTGCGCGAGCGATTCTTTCGCGTTGTCGTAGCTCTAGAACGTCCTCTCCACCTTGCGCGAGAATGAAGTTATGGAGCCCAGTAACAGCGTATACGATTTGTACCTGCTTCTCGATACTGTACTCTGCTGGTATCTCTCGGATTATTTTAAATCTCCTCTTCAGAATGCCAAAAACTCTCTCGACGACAGTCCGGATGCGTGAGTGCCTGAGATTATACAGCTCTTTCTTTGTCTCTGGCGGGCGCTGACCATTCCTCCAGTCCTGTAGATGATACCGGACATTGGAAAACGGTAGTACGATACCGTTTTGAGTACCAAAGCCAGCATCACCAACGTAATACCGATTTGAAGGAATTTTGAAGGAGCGACTACAGGCCTGATGGAGTAACAACGCGTCGTTGATAGAGCCCTCCGCTCCGGCGAGAACGTAACTGAAGGACCGGTCTTGCCGTACCGCTGCGAACACGTTCTGCGTTACCTGGCCTTTGCGGTTATACCAGCGGACTTGCTCTGACGCCTTTATGTGCGCCCTGATGTGAGTGCCGTCAATTGCCCCAATACAACCGTTGAACGCTAATATCTTGGGGTTGAGTTCGATCGCTGGATCAAGCCAATCGTCCTCTGGAAGCCGCACGTACGCCCTATGAAGCGACACCATCATCGGGAGGATTATCGCAAACGACCTCGATATCGAGCTCTGAGTTATCCTGAACTTATGGGCTGCAGCACGCTGGTCACAGCCGCGGCCAAGGATATACAACACCACCATAACCTTCTGCGCCGCGGTTTGATACCGCGTACTGCGGAGGCCCTCGTGGACCTGCAGCCAACGCACCAGGGCCGAGAACGTTGCTTTATCCATACGGAAAAGCTCTTTGAACTGCGTATCTGATCCAGTTTGAAGACTCCTGGCAAATCGTTGCGCGCCGGAGGGCCCCTCTGGATGGATAACTTGGCAGACCGCAGGTCGTGTTCTGGGCTGGCAGTCCTCCTCCGCAGTCCCTAGCAGCGTGTGGGCGGCCAGACCGGCGGCCAGAACGAAGAAAGTGCCCATAATGGCCAGGTAGGTTTGAAGAGATCTTTATTTGGTGATAAACTGTATGCTAACAGATCGATAGGTATTATTCTTCCCGTTCCACGCCATCGCCGCTCTCCCCAACAGGGCCAGTCGACCGCGAACCGGCTAGAAACCAGGGCTGAACCGTTCAATTTCGCGGTTCGCGCGAACCGCCTGTTCAGCTCTCCAACCAGCAGAAAACACCAGAATCACCCCTGTTTTCTAACCTTCTCCGGTTAGCCGCGACCTGCATTAGCGCGGTACATCGCTAACAAGGGCCTGTGGCTTCGAAATTTGCGAACAGGCTGTTCGCCCGACTTGGCCAGCGAAATTGCTGCCAGAAACGGGATAGTGGCCCTCGAAAAATCAGTCTTGGCACACCTGAACAGCCTTGGCAGTCCGAACCGGCTGTCCTGCTCGCGAGAAGATCTGACCCCTAGGTCGATTTTTGCTGCCATCGTAACCAGGGCGAAAAAGACCCCAAAAAACGCCTCCCCACTGCTGACCTGTTGGAACCCTCTGACTGGCATCAACTTACGCTTGTTTTGACTACTCTTGAGCCCTTTAGAAGGATTACGAAGTGGTTTGAAGGCAGATCAGCGAGTTTTCCTGAAGTTATCGCTACAACAGAGTAGCTGACTGATCACCTTACTCACCAGTAGCGAATTCTGCACCCAAATTCCGAGGCGCCAACAGAGTTCACGGGTGGGCCTGTCTACGCCCAGCCAGAGATTACAGTCGCTAGCCAACAGGCTCAATCAATCGCCCTTGACGACGACGATGCCGACGACGATGCCGAGCCTTTCTTCTCTGCCGCAGCGAATTCGCAGCGACCTCGGCGCAAACCGGCGGCTTCCTGGCCGGCTAGCCGACTCGGTCATCGACCTGCCGCGGCGCCTGCCGACCGGCCAGGTTATCCTTCCAGTCTTTGAGTTGGCCGACGACCTACCTGCCCTGCCCTCCTCCCCTGATCCTGACGACGATCACGTTTCCTTTGTACGAACCAGTCTCCAACTGGCCATACAGAAGCTTCAAGAATACATTGGGTTGATGGAAGAAACCCCTACCTACTGGGTCGCTATGCTCTTGCACCCTGGGCACAAGAAGAGGTGGATAGATAAATGCCTAAGCCCTGACAGGGCCAGGAAGGCATTCGCTGCTTGCCGTGATCTTTACCAAGCCGAATACGCCGACCTTCCTGTGCCTACAGCGCCGCAGCCACCAGCCCTGTCAGGCCCAGGCAGTCATCTTCGCTCTTACGACTACTACGACCCGCCTGAGGACCTGGGCCAGAAAGACAAGCTGGCTGAGTACTTTGCAGAACCTGTTTGGCCGGTGGATGACATATAAACCTGGTGGTTGGCTCACAAGGAACGCTGGCCTCGATTGTCAAGGATGGCTTTGGACCTATTGTCGATACCAGCGATGTCATCTGAGTGTGAGAGGGCCTTCAGCCAAGCCAAGCTGGTTATTAGCACGCAACAACATTCCTTGGTCGACGATACCATCAATATCCTCATGTGCCTGAAGAGCTGGGGCTTGTTTTGAGGGCGTTGGCTGGATTCAGCGCTCTATTCTGGTCTAGGGAGTCAATTCGGGGCCAAATTTGGCTAGATTTTCGTGTTTTTTGGTGGTGCGGCAAGTTCCGTCAAATAAGGCCAAATAAAGCCAGCTCAACTCAAATAGGGCCTCAACCCAACTCAAATACAGTATTTTGAACTCAATTCAAATGAAATATAGCTTCATATTTGAGTTATTTGAGGTGTTGGCAGCGTGTACTGAATACCTTGTTGGCTACAGGATTCCAGATCCTATAGATGTTGGATGAACTGTATCCCACTAGGTAGCCAATTGACGGGTGATCGTCACCTAGATCACGGAATGCGGTAGGCTATTCGTGAAAAGGTAGGTAAATTGATGATCGAGGGAGGAAGCTCGGGAGCACTGCCCTGCCGAGGACCTTAATGTGGTCCTTTGGTGGGGCAGACGCGGTCCAATCGCGTCGGGCTAAGCCCCGCTTCCCTATGTACCTATGTACTTAGACTACACGTGCCTGTCATATGACCCTGTCTTGGCGCTCCCTCGCTCAATCAGGCATTACGGCCCCGGCAAATCCAGCTTGGATATTCCAAGCCGAGAGGCTGTCACGGTTGCCACAGGGCTCAAGTGAAAGGATTGATTCTATTGGCTGCATTGTGCTTAGGGTGTGGCCTGTGCGCACTGAGCACCACTACCTATTTCTCCGCGCCCTGCGCGGACCCCGCGATAGATTCCTTTCTCTTCCTTAGCTTTAAATCTACATTCGTTGCTGCCTTCAACCATTGACATCCCCGCTGCGTAAGGTGGGCCGTCACAGAGGCCTAGTGGTCGGGCTTGTATATACAAAGTAAGAAAATCAAGCTTATCAATATGGTTGACCCCAGCAAAGAGTTTTTGTTGTACTAAGCTGCCGTAGAATGATTTGAGTGGTGAAAAACAGCCAACATCGAGTAGTTAGCATAGGTTAGAGAAGTGTACTAGCATTTGCATGACCACAATCTTATTATCTCGACAATATTGGTCAAAGGCTGGGGTGACATGGCTACCATGACCATCAAGGATCAGAAGTCGGTATTGGCCTACAGCCCGCCGTCGAGTGTTTGGATCAAAGATCTTGGTTAACCACTCAAAGCAGTGATCATCATCAGTCCAACCCTTCTTACTAACTCCAATTGACCAATCGCTCGGCGCACCGCAAGAGTACCACTCAGCTTGATGAACCTTGCCAGGTAGGATAATTTTAGATGGTAAGGCCCATCCTTTGCAATTGACAGCCTCGATGACTGTTGCCCAATCCCAATTTCCTGGCTGGGCGACCATTGGCCGACCTTTGTGGTCAGCCCGGGTAAGTACTCTTGCTGTACGGTGTCGTCTGGAATTGACCCACTATTCATGGAATTGGACAGGCCCTGGTTGACATGCCTCTGAGCTTCCTTCATTCTTTGTTATTTCCTTCATTCTTGACTCGGAATGTCCTCATTTCACCAGGAATGCCCTCTTTCAGGCTGCGCCTCCCTTGCCCTCTCTCCATGAGTATAAGGAAGCGTTCTTTTCTGTACTTTTAGACCTATTGAGTAGACAATTCAATGCGCTGTCAACTTCGATCGCGTGCAACAGTTATGAGCCCGGACTAACCACCACAAATCGCTTCCGCAACAAGCATTTCGGCACCTCATTTCCAAGCTCGTGTTCCCAGTCAACAGACCCCTCTCAACACCTTTCAAACCTTCCTTCCTTCTTTTCTTCGTTGATCAGTCAATCTGACGATGACTTCAGCCACGGCAGCAACCACCCTCTACAAGCCCGCTTTTACACGCCCGTCAGAATGGTCTGCATGGTACACTGCCCTGAAAAAGGTCGCCGGCGATAGGGACCTCGGTGAACCCATCGACATCAACAACGACGACTGGCTCCCGCTCTCTAGGGTCACCTTCAGCACCTTCGAAGACTTCCTTGATCGCCGCTACCCTCTCGACACACCCCGCACCGCCAAAGCAAAGCGCGACCTTGTCGACAACGCTACCCCTCAACAAATGCAGTCCTGGCGGTCTTTTGAGGCACAACAACTGCGTGAGCACAAGGCATTTGAGAAGCAGGAGACCCTGATCCGAGAGATCAAGGAATGGATTCGCTCTAGCACGGCCGCCACGTACGCTAACCTCGCTAAACCTCAAAATACGGCCCTAAAGGACATCGTCAGGAAGCTTCACACCCTGGTTTCGATCTCTACAGGAGAAGAGGTTGAGAGAGCCCGGGAGGCCTACCGATCAGTCCTCAGGAAGCCAGGGAAGTCTCTATCACCCTCCAAGTGGCTGCTCCAATGGCAGGAAGCCTACAGCGAGGCCGTCAGGCTGAACATCGATGAGATCAAAGGCACCCTCGCCCTCAAGGACTTCTTCACAGCTGCAGGGACATATGACGCCAACTGGAAAGGCACCGTGATGATGGAGATCGCGAAGGCAGAAATAAAGGGCGTTGCACCCGAAGACCTGCCCTACTACGCCAACACGTTCAGACTCATCAGCGAAAACCAGGCAGGAAAAGCCACTTCCAACAGCGCCTTTCCTACCTTCAACGGCAAGCCAGAGGCCGATCGACCAACCTACACATGCCCTTGTCGACCTGATGCCGCCTTCCACAAACCGGAGAAGTGCTGGGCCTTGAAGGAAGTCATCACGGGCAAGAAAGGCCGGCATCACGTTCCAAAGAAAAGGCTCGACTACGCCCGTGAGGAGCTAAAGAAGCCTGAGTGGAAAGAGCTAGCCCAGAAGATCAAGAAGGCCTCCGCAACCGAAGAGTGAAAAGAAGAAAACTGGCCAAAGGACTAGGCTGCCGTGGCCATCTCCACAGTCAACGCCATCAACGACGACCCTCACCCTCTCTCACGCTCCGTCATCTTCGATACAGGTGCTACGATCCACGTTGTTAACTCCAAGGCCGCACTAAAGCCCGGCACGTTCACGCCCTCTACGAAAGACTTCATACAAGTCGGCGATAGCAGCCTATCCGTTCAAGGTAGAGGCACCTGGGTCATCAAGAACGCTCTTAACGGTCCGAAAGGAAAAAACAAGCTTGATCTAGCCTTAGAGGATACGGCCGTCATTCCCGGCTTCTACGTTAACATCGTCTCGGGAATCATTCTCAATAAGAAGGCCAAATTCTGGTATGTGGGCCTTGATGAAACGATTCGGTACGGCACGTATGACAAGAATAAGGTCATCATTCAGCTTAAACTCATGTACAATCTCCTTGTTATCCAATATAACGCTCTTTCCTCGTGCTTTCTAGCGCTTAGCAAACCAAGAAGTGATGCAGGTGTATTCGTGCTTCCAGCAATCCAATCTCATCGCCAAAACCGGCCTTCCAGAGACCCTCTACCCCCAAGGGAGGACCAAGGGTATCTCTGGCACCTACGGTCAGGGCACCTACACAAGGAAGCCGTCAACAAGCTGGCCAACAACACAAGAGGGATCAAGATCACAGGAGACTTCAAGGACTGTGAGGCCTGTCGGCTAGGCAAAGCACACGAAATTGTCTCCCGACAAGCATCGGAAAAATCGCTCAAAACAACCGTTCTAGAGAGTCTCGATAGACATCTTTGAGTACGAAGAAGGCTTCAACGGCCGCCTATACCTCTTAGCCATCAAGGACGAATATAGCGGCGGCATTTGGGTCGTCCTCAATGACCAAGAAAAACGACTCGGTAGATATCGCCATCAGATTTGAAGCCTGTGTCAAAAGGCAGTACGGTCTGGCGATCTGCAAGATTAGGATCGACAACGAGAGGTCGCTGTTTAACCTAGATTACCAGAGGCTCTCCTTCTTCCAAGACTGGGCCATGGACGAAGCCATCGACATCGAGAGGACCCCAGTCAGCACACCAGAACCGAATGGAGGCGCCGAGAGGGCAGGAGGTACGATCAAGACAAAAACCCGCACCATGATCATAGCCGCAAGGCTACCCAGAAACCTCTGGCCAGAGACCGCGAAAATGGCTGCCCGCTTACACAACATATCACCCTCACGAACCCACGGCTGGAAAACGCCGTACGAAGTTATCCAGGCTTGGATGAATGCACATAACCGGTTCGTCAATACGGAGCTGAAGCCGACCTGGGGTGGCATTTATCCCTACGGAGCACGCGCCTACACTCTACAAAAGGGGTACAAACGTGAGAAACACAGCACTCACTTCGGCACCAACGCCAGGGCACACATCGGATACCTGGTTGGGTACGTTGCTACCAATATCTACAGGATCTGGGTGCCCGCCCTAGACGAAGTCATCACCACAAGAGACGTCACCTTCGATGAAACAAGGTTCTTTGACCCTGAGGAAGAAAAAAGGCTTTGTGTACCTATCCAGGAGTACCGGGGCCTGACGGAAATCCTCTCACTTCCAGAGCCACCAACGTTCAATGACGTAGCCGAAGACGACGAGATTGTGGAAGACTGCATTGTAGTCAACACCGGAGATACCCAGGGCAACAGCTCAGGGGTGGAAGAAAGCAAGGCGACTGACAACGCCGATGACGGTGGACTACCTACGCCAGCCTTAACGCCGACCACATCGTACACTGATCATGACGATGCCTTACAGGTCAGGGCTGAGCACTCATTTGGCATAGAGAGGGATACCGAGGGTGCACCTACTAGTCTCCCATAGCTACCTAACCGACTGACTACCTCGGAATCTACGGGTGGGCCTCGCGAATCCCCCGATCCTACCGAGGAATCATCAGCAGGGCCGTCAACCCTAGAGAGCGAACGCCTTGCTGGAAGAAGCAATAGGGTACGCAAACAAACTGAGAAAGGCCGGCTCTTTGAACAACAAAGCAAAAGGAAGCCGAAGGGCCTAGTAAACGCTCTGAGCCCACCTCTTAATTTCGATGAAGAGGAGGAAATCCAGGGGTTGCATTATACTCTCCACCACGTCTTCTCGGCAGCCGTCACGACTAACGGCATTCATCGTGACGGCCTACCAAAGCCCGCGAGGGCATTCAAAGACCTGGCACACCACCCGAAGGGAGCAGAGTTCAAGGAGGCCTGCCGCGAGGAATTACGAGCTCTCGTACGCAAAGGCACATGGAGAAAGGTTGACCGAACCTTAGCCTTAGGAAAGGTGCTTCCTTTGATGTGGGTTTTTACCTACAAATTCGACCAGGCAGGCTACCTAGCCAAGTGCAAGGCACGCATTTGTGTTAGAGGGGACCTTCAGGAGAGTAGCATCCACGATAGCTACGCCCACACGCTCGCCGCGAGGTCTTTTCGAGTAGCCATCGCTATAGCCGTCCGGTTCGACCTAGAAATCCGGCAGTACGACGTCGTCAACGCTTTTCTGAATAGCAACATCAACGAAGTGGTACACGTGAAACTCCCTGACGAATTTAAGGAGCCTGGAACAGTCTTGGAGCTTGATAAAGCTCTATATGGACTACGAAGCTCACCACTTTTGTGGTATAAAGAGCTCTCGAAAGCCCTACTTAACCTAGGCCTTTCGAAGTCAACAGAGGAGGCCTGCATCTTCGTCAACGACAAAGCCCTTGTCCTCTTCTACGTTGACGATATCCTGATTATGTACCGGAAGGAAGATGAGGATGCGGCTCAACGACTCACTAACCAGCTCGAAAAACAATTCGAAATACGGAATGAGGGTAACCTAGACTAGTTCCTAGGAATCAGGGTCATCCGTGATAGAGAGCATCCTCAAATTAGCCTCTGCCAGGACTGATATATTGAGCAAATCGCTACCGAGTTCAACGCAGGAGTAGGGCGGGCCAGTTACCCTTCGATACCGATCCCTGTGAACCCTTTAACGAAGTATAGAGGCAAGGCCACCAAACAAAGCATTAAGGCCTACCAGGAAAAAGTCGGTTCGATCCTATACGCCGCCGTCATTACTCGCCCTGACGTTGCTCGTGCAGCCTCTGAGCTATCAAGGCACCTGACCAACCCCTCCCCTGAACACCACAAGGCTGCTGAACAGACCATAGCGTACCTCTACTCCACACGCTTCCTTGCGATCACCTACGGTTCAGAGCCAGAGACTTTGGTCATTTGTAGCGACGCTTCTTTCGCAGATGACGAAGAAAGTAGGAAGTCCTCACAGGGCTATTTCATGACCCTCTTTGGGAGACCGATTGTGTGGAAAGCAAGCCGCCAAACCACTGTCACGACAACAACTGAGGCTGAGCTCAGGGCACTACAAACAACGGCTTCGGAAGCTATTGCCCTTGAACGCCTACTCAATAGCATTTCCATTGACCTAGAGGAACCCTTGAAGCATTACTGTGACAACACGCGGACCATACGGCTGGTTATCACGGACGACAGAATCAACACCAAACTAAGGCATGTTGACATTCAGAATATGTGGATGAAGCAGGAATTCAGGAAAGGAAGTTTCCTCATCGACTACCTACCCACTGATGAAATGCCGGCCGATGGTTTGACAAAGAACCTCCCCCGGCAGCGATTTGAGCACTTCAGAGCGATGTTGAACCTACAGGACATACAGCATTTGATTGTGATCAGGACGACTACATAGGGCCTGTGGACCTACAACACCACAGGAGACATCACCATTTCCTAATTGGGTAATGAGGCAAGTTACAGGCTTACATGCTGACCGCATACAAGCCTGGGGGGTCTGTCGTCTGGAATTGACCCACTTTTCATGGAATTGGACAGGCCCTGGTTGACATGCCTCTGAGCTCCCTCATTCTTTGTTATTTCCTTCATTCTTGACTCGGAATGTCCTCATTTCATTCGGAATGCCCTCTTTCGGGCTGATTACAACGCCTCCCTTGCCCTCTCTCCATGAGTATAAGGAAGTGTTCTTTTCTGTACTTTTAGACCTATTGAGCAGACAATTCAATGCGCTGTCAACATCGATCGCGTGCAACATGGTTATTAGCGAAGGAGCCGTCGACGAAGACGAAGAGCTTCGCTTTGGCTAGGTCTAGAGGGATGAATACCAGGCCTCGGTCTTGGTTGTTGATCTGCCACTCGATTCGCCTGTTAGGGGCCTTAAAGTCATCTGGTGTAGGCTCTTGGTGTTGTGCTGCGGTCAATAGCCGAAGGAAGCGAGAGGGGTGGAAGGTTCTCGGCAGGTTGATGCCGGGTAGTTGTTACAGCCGAACATGAAGAACTGTTGAGGAATTGAAGTTTGAGCCAATAGCTCCGTGGCGTAAACTGGGAAGGCCTATGAACACTTGTTCACCACCTGATATCACCTATCGAGCACTTGCCATGCTTGGGGACGACAAGAGCCGCAGGCGCGATCCATGAGGCGGTGATGAGTGGCAGATTAGCGGGGTAACGCCGGGCTTCGGCATCGGAAGTCTCCTCGCCGTGTAGAGCCATTTCTGCAAAAAAGCCGTTTCTACACAATGGTCTGAAGCATTGCTCATGACTAATCACTTACTGAGTGGCTTAGTTGCGGCGGCCGCGGCCACACAGCAACCCCGCCCACCCGAGACGAGACAACAAACACGCCCACCCAAGCCACACCAAGCCCCCGATGAATCGACCAGGACAAGGCACCTAATCAATACAGTTCCTGCTCGGTACTGCGCACGGTCAATTAGCGCTGCCCTTCATCGAGTTTTGGTCACGTCAATTTCAAGCCTGGTACAAAAACATGTCAACTTTGCTTCGACAACCGGACCCGCAGCAAACGAAACAGCCTTTTGCAATAGAGGACTCGGCTATATAAGAGCTGCAACATCTGCGGCGGCAGCTGCAAAAGGAACAGCGTCTACGTGGAGAAGAACAGCGAAGACGCGAATTGGCCGAACTCCAAAGCAAGGAGGACTAGCGCCGACGCCAAGAGGCCGAACGGGAGCGAGAGGATGCCGTACAGCGTGCGGTGGTTTCACAATCGCAGGCCCTCCAGCAGTATTTGGAGGGCTGTCACTCGCTCGACCTCGCCATCCAAGTCTTGACCAGTCGCTCCGAGACCACGATAGGCGTAACCATGGATCCCATGTGGCGGATATGCCCTCGTAGGATCATTCCCTGGGACGACTTCCCGGCAAAGCAGGAGCAGATCTGGGACCTTCTTTCGGCCAGTACCATGTTCTCATCCAATGCGGCGTTCCCGTCGCAATACCAGCTGGAATACGTCAAGTCGAGGCTTAAGCCTATTGGGAGTGAGATTGGGCTGAGGGACTTTCAGCGTAACGTGGTCGAAAATGCGGTCAAGTCACTGATTGCGGCCGTACCCGAGGATCCGGTGCTGCGCATCACCCTCGGCATGCGCGGAACTGTGACTTTGAGAGTCATACCAATCCTGGCTCCGCCGACGATGTGGACGCCAGCGACGCCAAGTCGAGCCCTTGGAGAACATGTCGCTTAGATCCCCACTGGCGCCTTTTAGGCCCATCGTAAGGCTCGCGGTAAGGGCAACCTGGCGGACCAGTTCTACATCTACCGGAAACCGGACTGACGATAGGGCGTACCGTCGCTTGCCATCGAATACAAGGCACCACAAAAGCTCACAGTGGGCGAGCTTGTCGAGGGCCTTGCATCCGAGATTAGCTAGAGCGCGATATTATCAACCAGGACGACGAGGGCTCTGTCTTTAACTCGAAGTAGCTCGTGGCCCCTGTCGTTACGCAGCTCTTCTCCTACATGATTAGTAAGGATATTCGGTACGGCTACGTATATACTGGCGAGGCCTTCGTCTTCCTACATATCGGCGACGAATCCGCCAACGTTTACTATACGTGCCGAGCGTCGACGTCATGGATAACGATGACGCCCGGCTGCACCGCATAGCAACCGCCCAAGTCTTTGCCTTTATCTTGCTGGCCCTCCGTACCAGCCCACCATCCGAAACGTGGCATTATCAGGCCGACCAGCTCGACACCTGGGCCGTCGAGTACGACGATATCCTGAAACGGATTCCCCAGATGGAGCGCAAGGAGCCCTATGCCACTCCTTACAAACCCCAACGCTAGAAGGGCTTCACGCGTTCACCCATCCGCATACGCGCCCGTTATCACGAGGCAGAGCCCGCCGTTGTAAGCCCCCGAAAAGACAGCGAAGACGAGGACGACGACAGCAGCGAGGCCAGCACCCCTCCCTCTCCGACACGTCGCACTGGCGGCAGGCGGCCGTCATCCACCAAACCAGACACGCAAGAGAGCAGCAGCGGGAGGAGGCAAAACTTGCGGCAAGGCTAGCAAGAACACAGCGGCCTTGGCAGCAGCACTAGCCCCCTAACGGAGCGACGTATTAGCATCCAGGACCGCCCTTTCTGCACCCAGCGCTGCCTGCTAGGTCTAACACACGGCTAGCCACTCGAACTAGCCTGCCCAAACGCCTCGGATCACCAGCAGCAGCCGCATTGCCACATGCAACAGCAGCACCAGCAGGGCGAGGGAGCAGCCGTCCCGCGCCTCAACCCATCGAGTTCCTGCGCCTGGTGCGCGAGCAGCTGGCTATGCGCCTCAACCGCTGGAGTGCGCGCGGCGCCCTCTTTAAGGTCCGCCTGTCCTCGCACGGCTATACACTCGTGGCCAAGGGCGTCGAGCCCTGCGACCGCGCCCTACACCCCCTCCAGGGCAAGCACATCCCCGTCTCGCTCGGCATGGCAGCGCTGCTTAAGCCTCACCATTTCGACGGGGTGTGTGACGGCGGGGCTCAGCACCTACTACCGCTGCACCACACCTTCCAAACGGATGCCAGAATTGCAAGCTACCAAGTTGCAATCTGTAGTAGGTTATAGTATGGTCACGCACCCGTAGGCCTGCCCACAGCGCCTACGGTACCGTGCCGTGACAGGGTGTGTATAGGCACTTTCTATTTCTAGGCTGGGCCGGCCGCCCCCTGTACGAGACAACTTCGTTGGGGAGATCGCGATGTTCTTACTGAGGAAGAGCTTGAACAAGGTCCGTAGGTAGCGGGGGTGGTCCTCTTTGGTGTCTAAGAAGATCACAATGTCGTTTATAAAGGCTCTGCAGTAGGAGGAGTGGTCGGTGAGAAGCCTGTCCATGAACCGTTGAGTGTAGGCGGGAGAATTTCGATAACCTATGAAGACGACTGTCGATCTCTCTAGCCCTCGAGGACTGATTGGGGTAAACCGGTCTCTGTGTGGTGGGTAAACTCCGAACTGGTAGAAGAATGAGGTTGCGTCTATGGCCATGATGTATGTTTTGCCTCGTAACGAAGCTATCACTTCCACCTGCAGGGGCAACGGGTAGTTGTTTGGGACAGAGACCCTGTTCAGGGATCTCAAGTCGATGACAACTCGGCCTTTTTCTACCCCGTGAACAGTACGCCATACTACGAAGACGGGCGCTGCAAACGGCGTCGGTTCGTGAACCCATTCCATGCGGTTTTCCCTGTGGAGCTGATTGAATATGGTATCTAGGACCACTCTATCTTTTTGACTCAGCGGGTATGAGCGGTTGGCGATCCTCTGGTTTTGCCAACCTTCTGCCAGAGATAGCTTCATCATCTCGGCTTCAGGGACTTTAATTAGTCTCTCATTGACCCAGAGTTTAGGAAACTCTTTGACGACTTTCTTCAGCTCCTTTTCCCATGCCTTGTCCGCGTCATGTATTCTGACCCTCTCTTCTATGATCATTTCTGGCAGATCGTCTGACATCTTCAGACCCAATGTAGAGTGTTTTTCTATGCTTGGAGGTAGTGATTCGGCTTTATCGGGGTCTGGCTCAACGGGGACGCTGGGCTGTTCGACGGGGATAGGGGCGGTGGTAGGCTCGATGATGTTATAGACAAAGTCGCTAATAGGTATGCCTGTAATGCCAGAGGGTGTGATGTTCGCTGAGTTGGGGAGGTATGGAGGAGTGTCGAGGGAGATGTTTCCCGTGGCTAGGCCACGAATCAGGTCAGTCATTTCGAATTTCGAAGAAACGGGCGGCGCGTGAAAGCAGATGTCAGTCATGTTAACGCCGACGGTTGGTACGGAGTCCATAATTGGAAAACCAGAGTTGAGAGCATGAAATGCAGAGTTAACAAGCGGCTGGACGCTTGTCACAGCCGCTGCGGAGGCAGCTGCTGGGCTAAACAATGACGCAGCCACTATAGCTGCCGTCAAAACCTTCATCGCTTTTCCCCAGGTGGTTGCGAAGTAACCGCTGTTGGTGTTCTCGTTGATCTCTCCGACGTGGAAATGCTTCGGAATCGTCATTGTTCCTCTGGAAGGGTTGACGACTCGGACTAATTTAGGGGTTTTAGCGTCGATCAAGGCGTTGACGACTGCAGAATGCTTGGAGTTGAAAAGGAAATTTCTGTCCGTCGGGAGGGGTTTGTAGTCAACTGGCAGCTAGGCTTGCTGTCCGGGTAACAGGACAACTTTACGGGTTGTGGTAACCTTGCGAACACAGGCGTAAGATCTATTGACACATTCGAACGGGACCCTAAAGTCAAGTTTGGCGAAGATGACTTGCTCCGCATGATAGTCAATAGTGGCCTCGTGAGGGTGTAGGAAATCGTTAGCCATTAGGAGATTGGGGATATCGACGTCTACTACCCAGGCTGACTTCGTGAACTTCATGAGGACCAGCTTGCCGTTCAGGTCTGTACCAGGCAGGAAGATCTTGAAGGTGGCCCATTCTGACAGCTTAGGGCCTTTTCCCACACCGTTGAGTCTTCCTTTGTTACGCTTCTCAATAGAGTGCTCGAGAGTGTTCAGAAAGGCACGGTGGATGATCGTTCTACTGGCGCCTAGATCAAAACAAAACTCGATGTCCTCAGCCTCACTGGACTGTCTAGCTTTAGCTCGTAGGTGCGTGAATTTAGAGCGCGGGTTGTCATCTGCTTCCTACACGATCTCTACTAGGGCCTCCTTGACTTCGTACTACACCGGCTCTGTGGCCAATAGAGCGATGTCTTTAGAGGGAGGCTCCGGGGGAGCTGGCAGGTCCATATTATCCGCGATTTTGCCTACCTTGGCGTGCTCACAGGACTTCAGGTGGACAAACAGCTTGTTGCGGGATCCGAAAAGCTTGTGGCAGTAGCCACAGGTTCGACGTGTAGGAGACGCCGGCGAGGGAGTGACGATGCCCTCCATCTGCACGGCTTTGAAGGGAGTGCAGTTCTGTACGTGGGAACGCTTCTTGCCAACCGTGATGAAGTTCTTGTGACACTTGTAACAAGTTAGGTGCCGGTGGAGAATTAGAAAGGCTTGCTCAGCTTCCTCTTCCTCATTAGTTGAACGGTCTAATGATTCCGAGTCCAAATCGTACGAGCTCTCCTCTCCGAACTCGCCATCGAAATAGTGAGCTCTGTCCCTATGCTGCTCCTTTCGGTAGTCGTCGTCGCGGTGCCGGTGCTCGCGCTTGCGATCCCGATCCCTGTCACGATCCTCATCACGATGACGGTCCTTCTCCCGAACGTCCTCCATCTTGTAGTCTTTGTCCTTGCTTTTGTCTCTATCGTTATGACTATAACGACTATCGCTGCGATAGCGATCATCGCTGCGGTAGCGATCTTCGCGACGGCGGTGCTTAGACTTGTACTTTTGGTATTCAGAATGTTAGGGTTCGTTATCGTTAGATCCTGCTTGTGAGACGTCGCCGAGGTCTTGCAGAATGTTACAAGTTCTCTGCATAATACGAGGATACTTCTCGCGAGCTGCAGATCGTAGAAGAGGTCGAACTTCGTCTACTTTCTGCATATACTCAGCCAGAGTCTAGGTCTTCAACGGGGCAGGTAGGTACTGCTTGATGCCAAGGTTGGTTGAGGTCCAGATCTGGGTCATGACGCCGTGCCAGTTTTTGTTAGAGAGGAGAAGAGTCCCCATGGCTCTGGCGTAGCGAAGCTTTCTCTGAATGAACCGGGTCAGGGCCACTTCGTCTTTGGCGATGTGCTTCAACGTGAGAGGGCCTGCTCCGAATTTCTCTGTAGCCTCGGTGGCATCGGGGGCGAAACGGTCTCTCATGGCAGTCATGGTAGTCTCTAGGCCGGCTTGTCGAAGGACCATACGTGAGTCGGAATTAAGCTCATTGTTCCACCAAAGGAGAGCGGCACCTCCGAGCAAGGTGTTCATGAGGCCGAGCAACTGACATTCGTTATCCTCCCTAGTGGATTCATCCTCCAAGGTCTCAAGACGATCCGTGAAGCAGAAGACGTCAGTGCATATAATGTTTTTTCCGTCCGTGATGATGCCCAGGTCGTTGGGGTCCGGATAGAAAGGAATGAACTGCCCCACGTCCTCTCGCTTGATCTTGACGGCTGAGGAAGTGCCTGCTATGGCTCTTGAGCTGTCGTGAGATTGATGACGGACTTCTCGTCCCCAGCAAGCAGATGCGTGCATCACCGGGGAGCTTGGTATCTCCAGCTCTTCCAGGCGGGGGCCCATGGTCACTCGACGTCGGCAATGTCTGTCCGCGCCTGCGGATTGTCGTTCCTGCTGCTGAGTAGCAGTGTTGACAGGTGCGTACGACTGGCTGTATGGACGGGAAATTCTGGGATTGCCTCGAATGATCTCGGGGATCGGCTGTAGTTCAAGAGTCGATCTGGGGTTGCTTCGGTCGGCCTTGGGGCTATGAATTGGCTGATCATCCTCCTCAGCAGACTCAAAGACTTCCCTGTCTCCCTCTGTTATGTCAGGCATGGCACGCTGACGCTGATTGCTGAGATGGCTGATGATGGTGTTATATGTGTGGTTACGACTGTCCGTAGCTTGTGTTTTGAGGTGTCCTTGAATGGATTGACGGCTTCTCTTTTGCTCAGCTGCTATACGTCTCTCGCTAGTCTGGAGCAAGTTGATGATGTACTTCATGTCCAACTGTTATTGCTCCGCAAGGCGAGTCTGTTTGATGGCGAGGTCTTCCAGCTGAGCTGCTGTTTTGGCGTCTCGTCTACTTAGGTCTCTCTTCAAATCCGCGATCTGGTTGCTGATATCATTGGGGCTGGTCATGATCTCGGACTCCAGGTAATCCATGGATTCCTTGTTCCTGCCGAAGTGTTCGGTTGGATGGTCCTCCCTGGCTGGCCATGATGGATTCTCAATTGACGACACCGGTCGCGCGCAGCAAGCCAACAGGTGATGTGAATAAGACAAAGGAAAACGAATGTGAGGGGGTAGCCTTCGTCTCTCAGCTACCTACCAAGGGGATCAGCAGCCAGTTAACTAGTGCTACACTTCGCGACCTTTCTGCGCGGCTACCAATGATCATCACACAGTTGGGTTTTGAAGATGCTCAGCGGCCTACCAAAGATCAGCGGCTGAGGTGCGAACCCTTTTGCGTCTGCAATTGATTGTGTTGGAATCACCAGGTACCGGTACTGGAAACAATAGGGCGTGCTGCACGCCGAAAGCTGGTGGTTCAAGTGATGGTCATTGTTGTCTATGTCTATCTAGAAGAAAGAGATGGCTGGAGGCCACTTATATGGAATCTGGGACCCCTAAGCCTCCACCGCCGCCTGTGTAGCTGATGAATGCGTTGCTACACCCACCTCTATGTGGCTGGAATGCGCGTTGTTCGAACAGATTGAATCAATCCAAGTCCGGGCGTGCAGGTTTGTGCTGTAGCAGGGGTGATCGAAGGCTTTGCGATGTTTCGCTAGGCCTCTGACCGGGAGATGCTTGACAGGCCACTTGCACGCGCGCGGTGCTGCGGGCTCGCGAAAAGTTGAGGTTGTATAGGAAACTACTGCCTCAAATTGCGTGAGTAAGTTGTGGTGTGGTAGGATCACTCTTTCTTGCGTCGCTGCTACCATTTGAAGCGGTAATACCGAATGATTTTTCTAAGGCTAGGTTGGCGCGGCGGATTTCCCTAAGGTTGGAAATCCCTAGACCTCGCTATATCACGTGCTAGATGTAGCGCTCCACGTAATGAAGCTATTTACACTTTTCGTGCATCACCCCGAAAAGTTCATTGCAGTGTACTCGTAAAGATTTCATTGCAGTGAACCCCCTGTCTGAAAATGTGTGTCGAGCTTCCTCCCATTTTCATTGCAGTGTACTTCACTGCAAAGGGGAATTACGGTTAGGGTGCTTTGTGAGTGTAGAGCGCCCAGGGGGTGTGGCCGAGTGGCTCATACCAACTGGCAGTAGTCTGGCCAGTTGGCGACAGGTGGTGGGCGTCCGTGTTGATTTATGCATGTCCTTTGGGGTGCTCTTTCTTTACAAAGAGAAACCTATATTTATACAGCTTGGATCGAAATCGGCGTCCGGTCTTACACTCTTTGAGGTGTTTGGGCACGGACCGCATATACTTCGGAGACATTCAGGTACATCGTGATGCCAGTACAGCCAACACTTCCCCCGCTTTTGCAAGCTGACATTCCGCCAAGCAAGTACCTCAAAGTACCGCTGGGCGGTGATTACCTGACCTTCTCCACAGTACAACGACGCAGACAGGTACGTGGCTAATCCATCATCTACTTGCAAACTTAGTATTTCCCATTGCCAAGTACGGTTTGCCTTCGTGTCTCCTTTTTCTCAATCGCCCTCAAAGGGCATTTTCACATTGTCATTCATCTTGAGGAGGGAGGTGGCTAAGCCCACCAGCAAAACAGATACCAATCACGATGCTTTGACACGCGCAGTTGGCGCCAGCCGTCAGGCGCAAACGCCACCAAAATGCCTGACATGCGGGGTTGGGGATTCTGACAGGCAGTGACAGCGAAACGCGTCAAGCCCAACGTCGGCCACAACAATCACATCACGGGCCAAAGTACGATCGGGACCACTGTGATGTATACTGCGCGCCTTGGCTGCCAATGGTAGGTGGTATTTCTTGCCTTTAGGATGAATAAAGCTGAGCTACTGATGCGTTGTACCTATAGATCCACGACCTTGAAGCCTTCCGTTTGCGTATCCTTTGAGCACCGTACAAATACATGCTGCGAGCCGAAACCGATAACCTTGCAAGATGCGGCTCCTGGAAAGAGGCGATACCGGCGAGCTCCACTTAACGAACCCGATTCCGAATGACGCGATCCCCGAGATCCCCCGTTACGCGATCCTTTCACACACATGGGGCGACGAGGAGGTCTCCTTCGAAGACATGGCGGACGGTACAGCCAAGAAAAAAGCAGGCTATGCTAAGATGCAGTTCTGCGGAGATCAAGCTTGGCTCGATGGGCTCAAATACTTTTGGGTTGACACGTGCTGCATCAACAAGTCCGACAAAGTCGAGCTTGAGCACGCTCTCAACTCCATGTTTCGCTGGTACCGTGAAGCAGCCAAATGCTATGTCTATCTCGCGGACGTCCCAGCCAAAGAGCATAGTGCCAACAGTAACGGTAGCTTGGAACTGGCTTTTCAGAAATGCAGATGGTTCACCCGTGGATGGACACTGCAAGAGCTTATTGCTCCAACCATCATTGAGTTCTACTCTAAGGAGCGCGAGCGCCTGGGAGACAAGAAGTCATTGGAAGAAGAACTACACGCCATAACCGGGATCCCTCTGAAAGCTCTCCAGGGAAGCCCTCTGTCTGATTTCAGTGTCCCTGAACGAATGGCGTGGATGGACAAGCGAGACACAAAGTATGAGGAAGATAAGGTGTACGCTTTATTCGGCATCTTTGACGTACACATACCGGTTATCTACGGCGAAGGATTGCAGAAGGCACTGAAGCGGCTACGAGACAAGATCAATGAGGATTACCTCTGCTTGGCAAAGTTATGGCCCACAGACCCGCGGGACCCGCGTGACGAGAAGGAGCGCATTGAGTTAGAAAAAGGTGGCCTGCTGGTTGACGCTTACCGCTGGGTCTTCGACAACTCCGACTTTAACCGATGGCGCGACTCTCCAGAGTCCCGCCTGCTCTGGATCAAGGGCGACCCTGGCAAAGGCAAGACCATGTTGCTCTGTGGCATCATCAACGAGCTAGAGCAACCCATCACTACTAACGGTGGCAACTTGGCATATTTCTTCTGTCAAGCTACCGACTTGCGCATCAATAGCGCAGTTGCCGTGCTACGAGGGCTGATTTACCTCCTTGCTCGGCGGCAACCCCGGTTCCTCTTACATTTGCCAGAGAATACATACGCTTCTGACGACGCAATGGCATGGGTAGTTTTATCGAAGGTTTTCCGGCAGCTGTTACAAGACCCGAACTTGAAGCAAACTTACCTAGTCATTGACGCACTTGACGAGTGCGCCACTGGCTTGCCGGAACTTCTCAAACTAGTCGCCCAGATATCATCTTCCCGCGTCAAATGGGTTGTCTCTAGTCGCAACTTACCTCATATTGAGGAGCAATTAGTTGGCGTCGCTCAAAATTACAAGCTCAGCCTCGAGCTGAACGCCGAGTCCCTTAATACTGCCGTCAGCGCATATATCCGCTACAAAGTCCGAGACCTATCGGATAAGAAACACTACGACAAGAAAACAAAAAGGCTTGTGCATGCACATCTTTCTTCTCATGCGAACGGTACATTCCTCTGGGTGGCGTTGGTCTGCCAAGAACTTGCCGACCCGAAGGTTAAGAAGTGGCATACCTTGACAAAATTACGCTCATTTCCCTCGGGTTTGGATGCTCTCTATGCGCAGATGATAGAACAAATTCGTTCCTCCCAAGATGCAGACCTCTGCAAACAGATTCTGGCCATCATCACGATTGTTCGCCGTCCCATCGGCCTTCAGGAACTCACTACTTTTACCGAGATGCCGGTTGACAGTTCGGATGTTCTGGACTCTACTCTCATCGAGATGCCGGACGACGGTTCTGATGATCTGGAGTCTATCCTGAACGAAATACCAGACTACGTTGTAGATGATTTAGAGCCGTTAAAAACGATTATCAGGCTCTGCGGTTCATTCTTGACCCTTCGAGAAGGGATCATCTATTTTGTCCACCAATCTGCCCAGGATTTTCTACTCGGCAGGCCTAATAAGGAGGCATCTCGAAAGGCATTCAACTGGGTCTTCCCTCATGGGATAGAACATGTCAACCACATCATCTTCTCACGATCGCTCAATGCGATGTCTGCGGTCTTGAAGCGCGATATATACGGCTTGAAGGAACCGGGGTTTCTAATCGACGGGGTTCAAACGCCATCTCCAGACCCACTGGCTACAGTACAGTACTCGTGCGTTTTCTGGGTTGACCATTTCTACAACTCAATTTCCGATAAGGATGTGCCGCAAAACGACATACTGGATGCAATCCAGACCTTCCTTGAGCAGAAGTACCTTTACTGGCTCGAAGCTCTTAGCTTACTCCAAGCTATGTCGGAGGGTGTCATTGCCATAAGACAGCTTAAGCTCCTACTCGTATGTATAACTTACTACCGTCAGAGAACTATACTAATAGAGATGCAGGAACATGCTGATCAGAGGCAGCTAACGGCTTTTGTTCGAGATGCACATCGGTTCGTTCTCTCCAACAGATGGATAATCGAGC